CTCCAGCCAGACATGGCTCATATGCGTTGCACGTGGTTGGCTATACTACTAATGTTGTTTTCATGTAGATCAAGGTCCTTTTCACTTTTTGATATATAATTTTTAGAGTCCTTAGGAGAGTATTATATTAAAAATAAGGTACAGACATGGGTTCCGAGGCACCAGGCACGGGTGAAACAATGTCACGAGGTCCAGGAGTTATTTTCCCGTGTCTTGTACCTTAATTCTAAATCTTATTAATACAAAGAGTTAGGTCAAGGTATGTACTTATGCAGTGTCAGACAGCATTTTTCTGTTTTTGGGATATGTTGCTGACCCAGCAACAACCGATCTTTTATTATTTTGTATTTGTATTATTTTACCATTTTTTATGCTTATGTGCTTGAAGTTATTTCACCCTTTTTATGTTGTGATTTTGTCTGAGAATCGTGCAAATCACTTAAGCTCTTTAGAACTTAAAATTTTATAAAATGTATACAAATTTTAATAATAAAATTTTGAGACTAATTAAAATTTAGGATAAAATATTAAGGATTTTCAAAATTTCCACTTTTATTTCTTGCATGACCTTTAGACCGGATTTTAAATTGGTTGCATAGCATGACCTTCTCCCAAGTCATAGTTAATAGGGCCTCTAGGCTTAAGGATAGATAATTGCTTTTTTGGCATGTCCCGAGGAAAAGTCCCCATGCTTCTCCAACCCGACTAACCCAACATAGATTTCTATTTAAGTGGTTATCAAGTGCGCTTAGGGTGTTAGAGGCTTCCTCTAAGCAAATGGGGAGTAATTCATTTGTTAGAGCATTCCGGTTCCATAGTTTTACCTCTCGTTTCTTTTCACTCTAGTGACATCCTTGTCACTTTGACAGGTATAAGTCTCACCTCTACTCTTCTTACATACATAGCACTAAAGTTTTCTTCTTTTAAATTTAAGACTATCGAGGTCTCCATGGATGACGCAAATCATGGATTGTTGATAAGGGGGTATCTGTCTGTGTTGGGTTAGCTACCTTCACGACCAGATAGACCTGGGGTCTCAGTAGCATTGGATGACGGATCTGTGTTATCCTGACCCGGTTATCTCTACATGATTAGGATTACTCCTTCCTTCATTTGTATACCCCCCTTTGAGCCATATCACTCCTTTTCACACTTTGTTGATGTCTTCCCATAGGCTCAGATTGTGAATAGATCACTAGTTTGAGATACGGCGATTTACCCTCTACCCGAATGACCTGATCTGGTGTCACCGATAAGCTGACACTCGTATAAGATTGTGAAAGATTTACTCTCTACCTGTGTGGGTCAACGGAATCTTTGAAGGTATCAAAACGCTCTTGTGAGATAACCATCCTTTGTGAAACCTTATACTAGTTATTATAGAAGTGTAAACAAGATTTCTTTAAGCGAGAGTTTTCTTAGGGAACCTACAAGATGTAAATGCGTCCATTGGGAGTTGCTCTTGACCACCCTAGAATAAGCACACGCACCTGAATCTATGGTTGTAGGTTGCTTTCGTAGGCCTTCTTCGCTGATATGCTTCAAAGGCATTTTTGATCCGATCTTGTTTTGAATGTACTCATTTCGACTATTGATACACCTAAAATAACCTAAAATATATAGAGTTTTTAGACACATTTTTATACTTATTTTTGAGATATTGTGCTTAAACGGAAGGTTTTTATGTATTTTTCTTTCAGGTACAAGTAGAAAGGTGAAAATGCTAAAATGAGTGAAAAATGATCAAATTTAGATCAAAAATGTGAAAATGGTGCAAAAGAGTTTTGACGCCTAAGCGCCGATGAAACAAAGAAGGCCGAGTCTAAGCACCAGAGGCCCCGCGCTTAAGCGCCAGAGGCAGTTATGTGACAGTTTACTTCATTTTGTTGAATTTTGAAGGGACATTTGAGGCACCTATTGGCTAAAGAGGGTGGTTATGACCACTAAAAATGAAAATATAATTAGAAGACTTGTGAAAGGAGGCATCATTTGGAGAATTCATTGAATTTAGACACATTTTGAAGAGTTACTAAGACACCTCTTGGAAAATTACAAAAGAAGGAAGTTAAGACTTTTTAAAGTCTGCTTGAAAGTCCTGAAAGTCTTGGGAAATGGGGAGTTCTGAGAAGTTCTAGAGATTTCCATGCACCACAAATTTACATTATCCTTTTTGTTTTTAGTTTTATTTTAAAAGTAAGAGTGTTGTAAAAGAGAGGAGATTTAAAGGAACTTCAAGTGTTTGGTGGAGGATTTGACATAAGTTTTTATCTTTTGTTTTTAAATAACTTTTGGTTTTAATTGAGACTTCTTGTTGGTTTGACAATGATTTCTACTTTTAAACTAAAGTGTAGTTTTGTTTTCTCCATGGATTCTGAGTAGTTTTCTTTATATTTCTCCTTAAAATGATAAGTAATTAAAGTGTTGGATGGAATTTGTGGAGAGTATGAATTTTTAATGTTGGAAGAAGTTGTGATGATTTAATTCCATGCACTTCATTTACTTCTTGATTTGGTCTATCTAGATGTTACAATTTATTGTGAGAACATGTAAGAACCAGGTTGGTATTGTCTCAGTCAATAATTGGAAAGAATCACATGAGGTTGTATGAATGAGAATGTAATTCATATGATTTAGTGCAAATAAATAGGGAAATAATCTTTGAAGGGTGTAGAGCTAGAGAGATTTAAAGTGACAGGTTAAAACCCCCAACTTGGTTTATTGTTTTAGGTTCTGATATAAGATGTTAGCCCCCAGGTGGAGGGAATCGAGGGAACTCTAGAGTGAGAGCTGGTATCTTCCCTGTCTAGCCGGTCTTTAGAACTATTCAAACTTTAAATTAGCCAATGTTCTATATAACATCTCTGGTAAGGGTAAAAAATATTATTGCTCATGTTTGGCACAACACAATTTGCATACTTCCACAACAGAAATCCTTTACTTATTACTGATTCATGATAAGGAGAAAGATATTTTCATATTAAGTACTTTTCTTTTACATAAACTCAAGTTATCTTTAAAAGTTGTTACTGTTTTGTCAAAATACAAAAAATACCAAAAATATTTGAATTTTAATTATTATAAAAATATTTATAGTTTAAGTGATTGTTTTTTTCGAAATAGAAAGTTTATTGATCAATAGTGCATATTGTTATTTTTTCAATGAGTTCGATATTCAAGTTTTAATTAAAAAGTTCTATATTACTTGATAATGATACGTATACTTGCGTAGTATCCCAATATATATATAAATTAAAAAGTTAAATTCTTATTTTCTTCAGGATCAAGTTTTTTGTTATCTTGCAAAGTAAGAAATAATAAGTGAAAAATATCATCAAAGACATCGTTATACTATTGCATATAAACAGTAACGGGATCAGCTATCATGAAAGTTTTCTTCACGAAAATTCTCCACGTATTTTTTTTCGTTTGTCTTCATTGTTGTATATATTTATATTTTTTTATTTTTCTCTTCTCTAGATCATTCATATGATATGGAAGATAGATTTACTCAGAAAAAGGAAGTATACGATGATATACAAGCTGACGACTCATTCAAAAATAAAAGAGAAAAAGTGACAAAAACACTCCCCTTTCTTCATGCTTCTTATGGTGTTAAATTCTTCATACTCTTTGTTTGACATATACTTATTAAAAATATAACATATAATCGACATTTTTAGTTTAAAATACTTTGGATAAATTCTTGGACATTTGTTAACATAAATCATATTGAAAATAGTTCAAATTTTCTTTTATCACCAACAAAGATCATTGAATTTCATTCTCCTTTCAATAACCTTTAAATTCTAGAAGTAAATTCTTACCCATGGTAAATCAAAGTGCCTTTATTTTGTAGCACCTTTAATTCTCTACCATTGCTTTTAATTTTACCCATGGTAAACCAACCCTTTTATGTTATAATCATTTTATAAAATTTACTTAATGATAGTTTTCTCCTAACAATGTTGAATTTATGGGTCTACAAATATCTGTGTGGATGAGTCTAACAATGTTGTTGCATGGTATTTTTCTTTGTATGAAATGATTCTCCTTTCATGCCCACTAAAAACTAATCATTCACAAAATTATTTTGGACAAATAATGCGAGGAAATCTATTTATATTGTGTTTGGTTGATAATTTTTGGAGATTGGCAAAACAGAGATGCTTAAATCCCATGCCATCGATCCAAGGATAATCTTTGACCCTCGTATGCATGCTTGATATATAATAAGAACAATAGATTGTCTAACATTTGGATATGAGCAATACAATTATTATTTTTAATTTCCTAACTATAGACTTCTTGATTTTGTATAAATATTGCAATATTTCTCTAAATTGTGGTGTTTGATCTTTGATTTGTCATACCAAGGATTCCTCCCTTGTTCATATCCTCTCATTGTTACAACTTCTTCGTCCTCAACCACATTTTATGCATTCATGGTATCTTAATGATGAGTGCATAATGCTTATGTAATGTTATGTTTGATAGAAATTAGGAGAATTATTAAGGCTAACACAAATTGGTCAAGGAAATAAAAATTGTTTCAGAAGCTTTTAAGCTCAAAGAGCATGTCATTTTATTCTAAAGTGATCATATAGTAAAAAAAGGCTTCATATTTAATACATAAAATACAATTATAATGGGTTTTTCGTACAATTATTCTAAAGCCACATTCTAAAATCATAATGAATTCTTAATACACTCCTCACTCTCCATATACTTCATACATTAATGTCATTTTAGTCCATGTAGGAAAAACTGATGCCAGAAAACTACAAAATATATTTATAGAATTCTACACGCACAAATTTTTCTTACAACATGCATGAAAATATTCAAATTATAATATAAAATCATTTAACAGTTTCATATTAAACATTTCAAATAATGACAACTTTCAAGGAAAGGATTTTTTCAATTCAATTTGTACAGACTCATGCACTCTAAAAATCTGCAACAAATATTCTGCTATTTCTTCATCCCCCTCTTCCTCCTCCTCCTCCACCTACACAAGCTCTTTATTTAGCTGTTTTTGGCAGTGCAACTTTCAAATGATCCTCACTTAATGCAGTAACCATCATTCTTACGAGATAATCAGAGGTGACGACAGCATGGATCGCACCATGCCGTGTGCACAATAGGGTGGCACAATTCACGCCGTCATCTGCACGTCTGGGCTCAGGAAACAACAGGAAAGCAATTATCGAGTGATTGTGAGCGGCTTTGGAGTCGGTTTTTCTGGGTAAAGTTCTGCTTCTCCATAAATTTAAAGAAGTCCTTGTTAAATCCATATTATTTGTTTTATTATTCTGAATGAAATATCATTAAAATTTGCTAAATTCTACATTATTCAGTATGCACACCTTCATTATCTTCTGTGTTTCCTGCTTTCACAACATCAAAATTCAATGAAAAAATATATGTCAAGAGAATCGAGCTATATGGTGAGAAATACTGCACAGCCACATGAGACAGTACTTAAAAAAGCTTTACCTGCTCATTCAACCGAGTTAATAAGAAAGAAAATTTATGACCAGCTTCTGTAAACTCTATCTTTTCATTCGAAACATCACTGCGTATATATACAGCAAATTTGTCGTTTTAAGATTTATTTTTAATTAATTTTCCTCTATAAAAAGAAAAAAAAAATCCATCAGCTATTAAAGCAAGCTTGTAAGCACAAAATGAAGAAACCAGAGAACAAAAGCCATTAGTCCTACTGAGCTTTAGAAGTGAGTTTACCTTATTTTGTTAGGAAAATTTTCCATCATTACCAGCAAAGCTTTCATGTGCATGTGTGGTTGAATAGCAGGGCAATTCTCCTTTGGCAGAAAAGAAGACAAGAAAACACGTAGTGATCGCACGCCTGGACGACAGCGGTCTAGATGGGCCGTGTGCCATTCACGAAAGACATGACCGCATATAGACCGTCGTCCGTACATGCGATCAACCACATGTAATAATTTTTTTCTCGTGCAATGTGTGTAATCTCTCTGCCAGAGGAGAATTGCCTGTTATTCTGAAACTTCACACCCTTGTATTATTATTCCCTCAACTCCATTGTCGAACTTCTGCATTTGTTGACTACTTATATGGCTGAAAAGCAATTAGAATGGCATGGATATGCTACGGGATATGCTTTGCAATGGTCCTGATTCCCATATCCTTCCTCCCAAAAGAAAATTATGATCTATTCCATAAATTATGATCTATTCCATCTTATCTATTCCATCTTCAACTCAAAATTTATTCTAGTTGCTTTCAAAGTTGGCAGTAACTTTTATTAATAAGAGATTACATGATGCCTTTATGTATCCAACAGAGTTAAAAGATTTTTGTTTAGTTTTTCAACACTAATGTGGAATGTTGTAGTGTAGAAGAAGCTACATGAACAATCAAGTTGAATTCAGAAAACTTTGGGGAGTTATGAACATCGAAAAGGCATTCCCTTTAGTAATTCTTGCAAAAAGATTTATGTGAAAATGTTTAGATTATGATCTTCAACTCAAAACTTGTATGATTATGATATAATTATGACTGAGATGTTGATTATGCTTTTGATTGATTATTTCTATGGCTTTGTCAAGCATTAAATTCTCATGGTCTGAATGCAAATCTATTTTTAAACTTTGAAGATTCTTTATGTGGTGCTATCATGCTTTCAAAACAATGTATTGGTGCTCCACCTTTCTTTTTTTAAGCAAAATCATTATCATTTTAAAATAAAAAGGAATGAGTCATTTGAGCAAGAAGGAATCATATTTTTAAGCACTTTTTGTGATAAATTATTTATAGGTGTGTTGAAGAATGCACACATGAAATGGAAGATTCTATGGATCTTCCCAATTGATGCTATTTCTCAGTCTGCATGCATGAGATAGATTTGCAAATCCTCTTAGCTTTATAATATACGGTTGAAATTAAGTGCAAGTGATAGAGGCATATGCTCATGAGTAAGAGATTTTTTGATATATTTGAAGGATAGGCTCCATTTTTGTCTGCCCTTCAAATGCATGAAAAATCATCCTCAAAATTTACAATGCACCAATGGCTACATTTTCTTAAGCTACAAATCAAATTATATGAATTTCAACTTTAATTTAACTTGAAACAATCACCGTGTAAAAGTCATGAACTAATTTTTGCAACGAAGATTCGAAGTTTTGAGATATTAAAGAGTGGATGTAGATGGTATAATTTTTGGACTTAAATTTACATAATTCAAATGAAAAATTTTGTAAGAATGTTGTAGAATGATAGACTATCGTTCATAGATATTGATAGGTTTTGTCAAATTCAAATTAACCAACTCTTAGATTGTCAAGAAAATGTTATATGTTAGATGTCAATTTGAGAATGGTAGAAACTTTTAAAATTGATAACACAAATCAATAATGAAAGGAGGAAAAATTAGATTAGATAGATTGTGGATATAGCATCTATTAAAATTAAAGTATATGTTGAAATATAGTATGTTGGTTTAAGAATAATAATAATAATAATTAAAGCTATTAAACTACGAGAAAATAAAATTAATATAAAAGAATTAAAGAGGTTTAATGCTCCACAAAACACTCTGTTATAATAAATGGACTATAATTTAGATTCATAAGACTAACCAGCATTTGGCCTATATTTAATGATGATAATGATGATGATGCATGTAATATGTAGCACACAATGAAAATTTTTGTAATGGTAGTTCGTTATGATATTAGATTCCATGAAGTAACGTTTGTTTAATGATGTCCATATGTGTCATTCATTAGATATGCAAGTTATCTACTTAGATACACCAGACGGAGCGAAGGATAACAAAATCGCGCTCACTGTATCGCATCCGTTGTCCGGACGTAGGTTGCATCTGCACTCTGGACATAATAATTTTTCAACATGATCGAAAGAAAATGACATTTGATTAAAGATATATTACAAATAATTTTGGTATTAAAAAATAATAACTTTACATATCATTTTGTAATATAAATATTAATCTCCAAAATATTTTGCTTATATTTTTTTTTTATGTCCGACCAAAAGATAGTCATATGTTTTATACTCATAAATATTGATAAGGAGCTTTGGTTCAATTTTTTACCACATTTAAAACATCTGGTTTTTTTAATTTTTAGGGGACATTCATTCAAGCTATGTTTTCATTGCTAAACTTTCTTATTTACACATGCAGGACTCAATTTATATACATACCCCATAATTCTTATTTATTTACATATCTAACCCCTAAGCTTCTATATTTACAAACATAACATCCGACTCTAAAACATCATATCAAAAATATCACCATTGTTTATCTTTCAAAACTGAAATATACATTTTCATATATAGATTTATGACACTATAAAATGTAAATATGAAATTTTAGAGGTTAGATATGTAAATACATAAGAAGTGTGTGATATTGGCTGGGATGTGCTACAGGATATGCTTTGAACTATGCTTGAGGAGCTTCTAGTTTTATGTCTTTAGCTTTTCTTCCCTATCTTTCTTGATCATTACTCACAAAAGAAGAATGCTCATTCAATCTTCAAGAATATTATATTTATGTATCTTTCATCGTTATTTACATACATGTCTAACACCAAAAAAATATTTACAATTATAGGACCTTGGAGTCAAAAACACATGCAAGAAAAGGTGAGTGGTAATGGAGTTTTTGATGTGATGTTAAAAATTTAAGTGGTATGCTTATAAATATAATGTTGTGAGATATATACTTCCTGGCATAGAAAATGAGACGAAAAAGGAACACAAGCAAACACAGATCGTTTACGTGGTTCGATCCAATTGGATCTACGTCCACGGGAGGGAATCAATCAAATATTTCACTAAGGTAAAAGAAATGGAGAATACATAGCTTATACATAGAGATGAGCCCTCATCTTCCTTCTATGGCCTCCCTCTCAAGCGACACATTGATACAAGGCCTCAAGATGCTCTCCTCCTCTCTAACTCTATAGTTATTCTCTCCTCTTTTGTGGTAGCTTAAGATCTATAGCTTAAGATCTCTTCTCTCTTCCCCCTTGCTCTCCTAAGCCTCACACCCTCTCTATTTATAGAAGCAAGAGAGTGGTAGGTGGAAGGTAGGTGGCCGGTAGGTGAGATATGGTAAGTGGCGGTGCCACATTACAAAATTGCCCTTTTACCTTAGTTCATTAATTGGGGGTCAAAATAACATATAATTATTTAGGGGTTAGATTTCTAAATATATAAGAATTGTGTGTTAGGTATGCAAATGCCTCTTTAAATTATGTGTCGCATTTTGCTAAAAAGAAAAGGAGTAAACCTATACTTTACTTAAAAGTTTTAAGTTTAATTTCGTTATTTGTTGATGATGAGGATGAAAACATTTCACAATATAATCAAAGAGCTTTATCAAGCTTTTGTAGTTCTAAAATTCATATGCTGAAAACCTAATAAATCTAGACATTTTTATGACTCATTTCTTAAATAACAAGAATCTAAAGGTTCACATTCAACATGCTCAATAGACCGGGCAGAGGGCTTGAATGCGTGATGAAATCTCGTGCAACACTAAGACGATAAACCATTACTCTATCGCCGTAAATTTTGTGGTGCCCATCAGTTTTAAGCCAATTATAAAAATTTACTATAGATTGATGATTACAGGATTAAATAAGAAAATCAACCTCCGCCATAAAAACCTTGAGAGGAGAAAGTGCCTTGTGAACATTCATCTCTCATTATGGCTGAAGTTTTCTAAATTGAAGTATTGATCAATGATAATAGTGAACTTACTGGGGGGAGAACACAATTTTGCATTGCATCGCACCATAAAAGTGGAGTTGGGCCCTTCAATTTCTTCGCCTCATAGCTAGACGGAGAAGAAAATATTACCAAATCAGTAAGTGATTCCGAATAATGAGAAGAAGAACTCCACAAAACTAAGAAGGATTTCTTGAAGATTCATGAAGTCCACGCTAGCTCTAATGATAGTTGTGATTGGAAATAAAAAAATATATACCATGGGGCATGGGCATTGTTGAGACATGCTAGGTTGTGATTGGAGGCTAGCAAATAGAGGTTATTAGCCTTTTGCTTCACTCAATTCCCCATACTTAATGTCACTTCACTAACCTGCTCATAGATTACCACCTCTATCACTAGAAATTCAAGAATCTCATCATGTGATGCATTCCATAATTGCCTCAATTGATAGTTATTGTTTTTGTCACTTTTTTAGTGCAATTTGCAATGAGTAGTTCATCTTCCAAAGTTAAATTAACGCGATCTATGCTTTTAGCGTATATGAGCAAACATCGACAATAATAATAACAAAAAGTATCGGCGGCAATGAAATAATTTCTATTTTAAAACTTGATTGTGACTAATTATATCAAACCAATAACATATCTAAAAAAAGATAAATAAAATAAATTTTGATAACATAAACAGCCATAAATGCCGAAGAAGTTGAGACTTCGAAAAAAATCTCATATGAGAATAAATGCTAAAAACTCACCGAAAACAATAGCAGTAGTGCTCATATATTCAGTTTTCTCTGGTAAAACTGCAGTACACGAATCACCCCGAAAAAAAAAAACATTATGCATTTTACACATCCTTTACAGTTTAAGAGGTGTTAAATCGAGTTTGCTTAATCAATTTCTTGAGCATTATCTACAAATATAACAACAGAGAACTTGGAAAGACCAAAGAAAATAGAACCAAGTAAGCCTATTAAGGGAAAATAGCAAGGATATAGATTGCAGTAACAATCTTCTAAACAATTTAGTTGACAACAGCGGACCAGGAAGGACGAAAGCACAGGTTCTAGCAGTCACATCCTGATGATCTTTGCGGTTGACCGCCGGAAACATCAATGGTGTCCGGGAGATATCTTCATCAACAACAAGAGATGTCATGTCAATAATACTAATTTCATAAGGAAAGTCATACGACCGCTTCATATAAAAATGATAAAGAATTTTATATTTAGCTTCTTAATTATCAATTATATACAGATGCCGTGCACCTAAATGTAGCTCCACAAAACATAGGATACTTACAGAGACAAACTAGCTTTTACTTGTACAACATACAGAAAATTCATATTCAAACAAGGCATAACCATTTTTTTATTGAAGGAGCTTTTGTGATTTTAAAAGAGGTTTTCCGTCATAATTTTGAATACTAAAACAGCAGATTCTGTGATGTCAGGGGTGGAAATTGTTAATCTTGTGCTTAAAACCAGAGATTCTAATGTTGATGAGGGAATTTCTTTACAATTCATAGTTTTATTGGTGTTTCTACTAATATTAAGCAAGTCTTATGATAATTTTACTTTTTCTGATATGATCTTGAAAATTAAACTTTATGAATTTCCATCATCCAAATATCAGATATCCTCATACACCATAAACAATACCCCTTGCATAATTCTTGTTCATCTTCAAAAGGTAAATGATTAATTCAAGGTTTACAAGGAGAACTGAAGATGGGGAGAAAAAATGTAAGGGAGGAAACCATACAAATGATAAAATAGTGAAGGTAAATTAAAGTGAGAGGGCTCAAAATCACTCACATTTCATCCTCAGGTTCATTTTTTAGAGCATCCTTGGCAATACACTGAAATGCAGCTTCTACATTTATTCCCTCCTTAGCTGATGTTTCAAAATAGGGAATATTACCCTTTGAGGCACACCAAGCCCTTGCTTTCTTCTCAGAAACCTGTAAAACCAGAAGCATGATTTAGGTTTCAATGAATTGCGAATCCTGTAAAGCTCAAATAAAATTGAAAGTGAGTCATGATACCACTCGGCTGTTGCCACCATCAATATCTATCTTGTTTCCAATAACCACAAATGGGAAGTTCTCTGGATCTGATGGGTTAGCCTGATATATTTTTTCATGCAAAGATATTGTATATTAAAATTTTAAAAGAGAAAAAAGGTGGAAAAATGATTTTACCTGAATTAAAAATTCTTCCCTCCAATTGTTTAGGTTGTCAAATGACTTCATGACATTAACATCATAAACAAGAACACAGCAATCTGCACCACGGTAGAAAGCCACGCCAAGGCTCTGAAATCTCTCCTGCCCGGCTGTATCCCATATCTAATGAATGAAAATAGGTAAAAACAAATAGATTGAAGACAAAAAATGCCGTATGAAAACTGAAAGAATTGACCATCATCTTCGAAATTCAAACATTAAACAAAATTTTTAATGACTTAGAGAGTGGTGTTCTTACGAGAAAATTGATTATTAGTACTAAGATCCACACATAAATTAAGAGGAGTGCATGTTATAGGAAAAAAAATTGCAACGCCTCAAGAACCTCTACATGATGCAACAGCTAATTACGGAATTTAGCGGCTTTTAATGCAACGACTTAGATCAAGCACGCATCTATTAGCACTACATAATATGTTTGATCCCATTTGATTAGCTGCAAAGATTAAATGCACATTTGATGAATTGTTGTGGCTAGTCGTTACAGTAAATTTATCAATCTTAATAATAGCGCTTGCAACAATAACAATGTTAATGATTATGAAAATCTCGTAAGCCGCACTAATACGACCCAACACAATTTTCACAGAAATTAGAGCAAAACAAAATATTTTATTTCATCAAAACAAAACAACACAACCCAAATACATGAAAATAAGCACATAAAATTTAAGAGGTAGACGATCTGTCCCAAAACCCTAAATAGATAACTAAAATTCAAGAGGAAGGCAATCTTACATGGGGCTCGAGGGAGGACAGGCAGGTCCTCAAAGGAGGGGGGGCTGCCGCCCCTTCCTTCCCCTTCTTACTTTCCCTCCTCCCCTTTTCTCTTCCCTTCCTCCTTCCTCGCCCTCCCCTTTCCTTCCTCACCTTTCCTTTCTCTCCGCCTCACATTTCCTTCCCAAGCCCTTTCCTATTTTAAATCCTTATCTAAAACCTGAAATTTTAATTTTATTCTCCTTCTTTAATTTAAAACTCTTTTCTAAAATCTAAAATCTCCTTTTTATTCTCTTTGCTTATTTTAGAAGTTTTTCTTAAAACCTGAAATCTTTTTTTATTCTCCTAACTTATTTTAAAAGTCTTTCCAAAAATCTGAAATTTTTTTTTATTCTCCTTTCTTTTATGTCACATTGGTATTTTATATTTACAGATTTTAAGCCATAATAATTAAGAAAAAGGCATTTATGTATCTACCACCCAATTCTTATGTATTTAAGTATCTAACATCTAAATTTTACTTTTTATATATATGCTACCCAAATCTTTTCTCATAGTACAAAAATATAACTATTTTGTAAATATGAAGGAATTGGGTGTTATATATAAAAATTTTCCTTTGAAAACATGCAGCAAATCAAAAGCTGACATTCAAATTGATATTATTTTATCGAATAATTTTTCTACCACAAATTAGTCAAAAAGCCATCCCAAACAAAGCTTTAACTCTTACAAGGTTAAGAGAATAGCAGCAGGCAAAACATTTAAAACCAGACCAAATTGTAAAAATATTAAACTGCAGCAGTAACTTGAATAAGAGAATTTACATACCGAACACCTAAACTTCACTATTTACATATATGCCAAATTACTTATGCATGAAAATGTTTATTCTCACTTTTTAAAATTTAAAATGGTGATTTTTTTGGAGATATGTGATGCGTTGTAGAAAATTCACGACAGTAGAGTAATAGATTATCGTCTTAGAGTTGTACGAAAATTCAACACATATTCAGATGAAAGAAAAAATAACTAATAAAGACACCGAAAGTTTTTACGTTGAAAACCCAGAAAGAAAAAAAATCATGGGACATGCCTAGCTAAAGAGATCTACTATAAACTAGAGATTACAAGTACAGTCCATTGTCTCACAGCCAGAAAAATGTTACAAAATCTTTCAATTTACAACATTAGTGCACGTTTGAACTTGTTGAAAGAAGTGGGCGGTGAACTATGATGTTTGGCGGCAGCCTACGAGTGGCAGTTGATAGCTATCAGCAACGAGCTGATATTGGACTTCAGTTTCTTCTTCAAGTTTAAAACTCTTCTTCAGACTTCAAGCTCTCCTCTTTAGGCTTCAATTTTTTTTTTTTATGAGATGGGTGAGACTCTATTTATAATCTCGGTTGCAATTAATGAAGAAATATGAATCATTATAATCGGAAAGCTCTGAGAGGTTATCTTACTCAAACAGTGTTTGATGAACATTCGAGTGCGTTAACGATATCAAAATTAAGCGATCTTGGGCTTGTTGGATTTGTCTTGTCGAGACGCTCGATTCAACCATAAGCTCACCGGATTCGGCATTTGTTTCACTTTCTAAACATGCTCTGTAAGCCTCTAAAAGTGGTTTAATGGTTTGATTGTCTTAAATTGGACCAATTTTGGTATCATTGGATCCATCTTGTCAAGCTAGTCAGTTTGACTATAAGTTTGTTGAAATCAGACTTCTTGATGACTTTTTATCAAAAAGCTTAAATATTTCTTTCCCAAAAATGAGCATTGAGATCCGTGTGATGCCTTGAGATTTGTGCTGGATATTGGAAATTTGTTCAAGGTGTGTCGATATGAAAGATTTTGATAGCCTAAATGTAAAAGTAAAATTCAGGTGTTAGATATGTAAATATATAGGAACTGGGTGGTATTTATGTAAATGCCAAATGCCCCAATTTTGGTCATGCCAAAATTCTTAGGAAGGTTTGCATTCATGCTCCTGAATTGCTATGTATGTACATATCTAACACCTAAACTTCAACTTTCACACATGCCACCCTACCCATGCATGAAAAGGCCATGTATTTCACTTCTAAAGGTTAAAATGATGATATAAGAAATTTTGGTGTTTTTAAATGTAGCAAGTATAGTTTAGGAGATATATATGTAAATACAAAAGAATTGGGTAGTATATATGTAAATGCTCCTTTTTGAAAAAGTGCCACGCCTCTTTTTTAAAAAATGAAATTTGTAAAAAAAATTTAGAAGTGGCCTTTGACCCTGGTTAAATCTATAACATGGTTAGTGTACTTTTGTAAATATTTTTCATTAGTTTTATTCTTTGGCTATTTGCATTAGGTTGAAGAATGGGGATTTTCTTGAACCATTATGTGAAAATATTTACAATTATTTATTATCTTAGCTGGCTCTTTTGATGTTATTGAATTAATATGCTATTATATATTGGTTTATTCTTTTTTTTATTGTTAGAAATTCCTATTTCTTGAGGAATTGGAATAACTTGAATGATATATTGGGAGATTCAGGGTTTCATTTTTCCTTATTTTTCTTTACCTCTTTCGAGAGAAAATATTACGTGTGTGGTTTGTACGTGCGAAAAATTAATCACATTCGAGAGCAAGTTAAAGTAGACAATTAATATAGCTTCTAAATATGGCTCATGAAATCTCCCTAAAGCTATCATCTGACTTACATCACAAAGACATAAATCCAACATACAACATAATATAAAAAACAATCTTACAATAATACGCTGTCTTAAACATAAAATATGACTAGAAAAGAACTATGCACATATAAGTACTTAAATCTATCCATTATTTCTTAGTCACAGCACTTGTGATGTACCCATATTGCACAACATCAATTTGGTTTTTGGTTTCATGAGATGGGGAAGCTACTTACAATAATTAAAGTCTATTTATAAATAATGCATCAATTTGGAATTCTATTGCTCACTTTCTTTCTTTTCAATGTATAAACTTTATTATAAGTTATATTTTTATTTTTATGGCGCATGTAGAAATGTTATAAGAGTGCTTTTGTAAAGCTGGTTAAGGCACTTCACTTGGAGAACTTCAAATATGAGTTTAGAAGATTTGTGCAGACTGCTTGTACTAATGTAATAAGGAACACTTTATATTAGTAGACTTTTTCTACAAACATAAACATGGAAATTAAAAAAAAAATTCTCTTAATGCCGTTTTATCATATGTGAGTTGCTCTTCACATGATTGCATTTGTGGAGTTTTTTGGTGTAATCTTCTATTAATTTCTTTCCTTCAATTTGTAGCATGTATTTTAACCAATATTTATTGGAACTCCATGTGATTTGATCTCTAAATATTAAGGAACAAATGCAGAAAAATAATTGCACCTTGATTCGAACTATAGAATGCCCATAGGAAGAAAAAAAAGTCATGTTCTACAAATTAAACATATAATGAAAGATTTATTTCAAAAATGACTACTTATTTTTATTCTCTTAATAAGCATGCAAACCTTCCAGTTAAAATGCTTCATCTATATGATTATAGCATAAGAAAAGTATGAAATTCATGCAATTATATGTAAAGGAGATTAGTTTCCTAAATAACCCAACTTTTTACTCTTAATTTTGAGAAAGTCACGATGAATGCTTACAAAAAGCGATCTAAGTAGATAACTTGCATATTTAATGAATGGCATATATGAACATCTTTAAACAAACTTTATTTCATGGAATCACATATCACAATGAACTATCATCATAAAAATTTTTATCGTGTTGCATATTACATGCATCAACATCATCATAATCGTTAAATATAGGCCAAATGCTGGTTAGTTTTATGAATCTAAATTCTAGTTCATTTATTACAACAGAGTGTTTTGTGAAGCATTAAACCTCTTTAATTTTTTTATATTAATTTTATTTTCTAATATTTTAATAGCTTTAATTTTTTTTTTATATTATTCCTAAACCAAAATACTATATTTCAACATATACTTTAATTTTAATAGATGCTATAACCACAATCTATCTAATCTAATTTTTCCTCCTTTCATTATTCATTTGTGTCATCAATTTTAAAAGTTTCTACCAATCTCAAATCGACATATGATATAACACATGCCTAACACTTAGAATTATATAAACAATCTAAGAGTTGGTTAAATTGAATTTTACAATACCTATCAATATATATGAATGATAGTTCTACAACACTCTAACAATATTTTTCATTTTAATTATGAAATTTAACTCTAAAAATTATACCATCTATATCCACACTTCAATATCTCAAAACTTTGAATTTTTATTGCAAAAATTAATTCATGACTTTTACACGTTGATTGTTTCAAGTTAAATTAACGTTGAAATTAATATA